AACAGTTACCTGAAGAATATACTAAATTAGATGAACCTGAATGGAGCCCTGGAACTCACTCTACTTGAGAATGTCTGGCAAACTCTAACAGGGCTACGGGACAGGTGGCTAAGCTGATCTATTTGCTGATTCAGTTGGCTACACTTTCAGGAGGTTAGCATTTTCCTGATCTTGCACCACACTCTAGTGGGTAAATTTACCCTATTTGGGGCCTTTGTCCCTACAAAGGAACTATAAAGTTTAAGAAATTGCCCCATCATTTATATTAAGTGCTATGAATTCAGAAGAAAGCTCTATCAATACAGATCAGAATGCAGCTTTGAAGGAAGAGTGGAAGTCAGAAAGATGGACGTAAAGATTCCTGCCGGCTTAAAATGGACCCCACGGCATGGCTCACGGGCGAGGAGAATGGGGCACAAACCACCCCCACTACAGCCCAGGACAGGACTCTGAACTCCTATCTAAGGAAGAGAGATGTGTCCCATGACAAAATATGCAAAACAAAGCCCGAGTGACACGTCCTCGATGTCTGCTTTCTTTCCTAGCCATGGCTGTAACCACCCCCACCCTCGTCGGTCTCCCCAGAATTGCCGGCTGGTAGGGCCCCCATCAACAAACACAGACACCACCTGCCGCTGTTCGCGACACATCTCGCACACTTTCCCAAGTCTCAGCCCCGTCCCTCTGTGGCCCTAAGGATCCATCCCCTCTCCAAGGTTACGGCCCCCAACCCCTGGGGCCCCCGAAAGCAAGGCTGCGTTGCTATGGTTACCCACTTTCCCCTCCCTCCCCCACCTCTTGCCAATTTCTATCCCCAACCCCAGTCGGTGTCAAGCTTCAGTCCTCGCCAGCCCAGGCCTCCCTCCACTTACCAGGTCTCCGCCCCCCATGATGGTGGGGACGTTTCCTCACTACGCGGATCTGGAAGACTCAGGGAGGATCGAGAGAAAACGGAGAGAAAACAGTTCAGGAGCGACCTCCCAGGATCTGCTCCCCAGAGCTACAAGCTGCCACTTACACCAGCCGATCCAGAGGCCACTTCCGGGAGGGGTCATATCATTGCGTCGGCGTCGCCGAACGATGACGTTGTATTCTCTGTCGCGCTACGTGACGGTGGCGTCACGTACAGTTTCCACAGTTTAGGGTCCTGCTGTTGTGGCTTCTAGGGTCTCATTTTGGCTACGGCACGTCGCCACCTCGCCTGATGTCCCGAACTGTCGCTACAGCTCTGTTCGGTTACGGATCGCCGAGGGCCTCCCAGCGCAGTTCTGTTGCCATGGCAGCGCACCAGGGCGTCCGGCCCGAAGCTCAACTCGCCTCTCCCGGGGAGACCCGGGTGTGGACCAGCCTAGGCCGCCCCCGCGACCCCACTCTCAGGCACATAACCTCACACCCCGGATTTCCAAAACAGCTTTTCAAACCAGCGCTCTCCTCAAACTTTGGCTCACAGACCCTTATTCCAAGCCTATTTTATGGAGATAAAGAGAAACCATCAAACCAAAATTCTATCAGTTTTCTATATGGAGCACCCGGTGTGTGTCTAGCATGTAGTAGGCATTCTGAATTATGGTGACTATGAACAAATGAGTGAATGAGTAAATGCAGGAAAACTCTTTCCTGGCCACTGTAAAGAGAGAGCAAGCACACCAAAGCAGTTGCTTGTAAGGAATCCTAACCCAAGAGATGGGCCACGTGTATGTACATTTTATTTTTTTTCGTATGTACATTTTAAAAATTCATACATAGGCCAGGTGTGGTAGCTCATGCCTGTAATCCCGGTACTTTGGGAGGCCAAGAGTTCAAGACCAGCCTGGGCAACATAATGAGACCCGGTCTCTACCAAAAAATTTAAAAATTAGCCAGGAGTGGTTGAGTCCCTGCTACAGCTGGGACACCTGTAGTAGTCTCAGCTACTTGGGAGGCTGAGGCAGGAGGTTTGCTTGAGGCCAGAAGGTTTAGGTTACAGTGAGCTATGATCAGGCCACTGCACTCCAGCCTGGGCAACAGAGCGAGACCCTGTCTCTAATAATAATAGTAATAAATAAAAATTCATATGTAAATAATCCTTATAGAGAAACAAGGTTTATGGAGCATGTATACTTATCTCCACTCCCTCCCAAAATTCCACTCCCACCCAAAACCACAGTCGCCTATAACTCTATAAGGATAAAGAGAACTGGGGAGGGAACAATAGTAGAAGAGCTTTATCAGTTTGAAAATAGCAGGAAGGGCAGTGACTTAGCAACGATGAGGAAGCTGAACCTTAAGTGTTGGCTCTAGCAGAGGCTCTTAATCTCGGGTGCACATTAAAATTACCTGGGGAGATAAAGAGGCAAATCCTGAGGCCTCAGTCCTACTAGGCATAGATAGTTGAAAAACATCTACAGGTGTATGGCATTTTTGCACCTACACACCCCTCCAATTCTGGGGGAATAACCTGTTTTGTCAAAGTTGGCTAAGGCAATACTCCCTTCCTGTCTTTCCAGCGGAAAACAGCAAGCGTCAGACCACAGCTCAGCCCATCCAATGCTCCCACCTGGCATTTTGAAACTCAAACTTTAGGAATTGTCCTGAAGATGCAGGTGCAGCTGGGACAATATCTGCAGCAGTGATGCATGCCCATGGTTAGTGGCACCAGCAGTGACACTTCCAAGGACAAGACCTGAGCTGGAGCTCCCTGCTTCACAGCCCCTCATAGTTACTGCTGAGTTAGGTTCTCCAACGTCCTGCCAACTCTGTGAGTCCCCACCATGCTGCCAGTAGATTCCTTTTCTGCTTAAAGCAGCCAGAGTGGGTATCCATCCCATTCCAAGAACTCTGACCATCACAATAAACTAAGAAAGTGCCCCTGTAACCCTGTAGAGAGATTTACTTTTTTTTTTTTTTTTTTAGACAGAGTCTTGCTCTATCACTCAGGCTGGAGTACAGTGGCCTCATCACAGCTCACTGCAACCTTGAATTCCTAGGCTCAAGTGATCCTCCTGTCTTAGCCTCCTGAGTAGCTGGGACTACAAGCGAGTGCCACCATGCCTGGCTAATTTTACTGCTTTTTGTAAAGATGGGTCTTGCTTTTGCCCAGGCTGGTCTTGAACTCCTGGCCTCAAGCGATCCTCCCTCCTGGCCCTCCCAGAGTGCTAGGATTACAGGCATGAGCCACCCTACCCAGCCGAGAGATTACATGTTGACCCTAGCAACAGGTTAACAATATCCTTCAGATCAGGCAGAAATATCCCTTCAAGTTTCAGGTGAGCTTCAGTTAGAAATTGTATCTTAATTGCAGTTTCTCTTCGGAAGAAAGAGAAAAAGAGAGAGTAAAGAACCAAAATGAAAATAAAATAAAAAAAGAAGAAAAGTAAGAAAAAAAATTAAAAAGAAGAAAGAAATTGTATCTTAAAAAAGTATGTGGGTTTTTTTTT